CGAAGCTTCTTATCTCCTTATTATCCTTTCCAATCACTCGCTCCGCTTCTACAAGAATCGCTGATTCCACTTCTGGATGCTTCGCCACTAGCCAGAAGAAGCTGGTTAGAGCCGAAGCCACAGTGTCCCGACCAGCTAATAAAAAACTTATTATAATGTCTTTTAAGTATGTGTCATCGTTGACGCTTCTCATGAAGCGTGACAACAAGTCCTTCTGAGACGAAAACCCCTTTTTTCTTCTCTGCCTTATCACCTCCTTCGCTAAGATGTCTATCATTCTAACCGCTTCTCGAAGCTTCTTCTCCGACCCTAAGTTCAGCAACCTCTTCAACTTCCAAATCAAAGGGGACACCGACATGGCTCTCTCCGCGGAAAGCTTCGAAGCCAAGTCAAAGGAGAGAGCGAAGTTCGATATAGGCAGAGAGAGCTCCAGACACATAGGGTCCAAGCCGAAGGAGAATCTGCAAATGCTGTCGAACGAGAATCTCTTGAAAACGTCCTGCAAGTCCAAAACGCTCTCGTTTTGTTTGACCATAAGGAGAGGTACGAGGCGGTGCTGGATTTCGAACCTCACAACATCAAAGGCGAAGGAGCGTATGGAGTTGCTGCTGAGTTCGAGGCTGGCCATCTTCTTCTGGAAGCTCCAGGATTCTCCGTCGACGTTGAAGATTCCCCGGCCGAGGAAATCGGCGAGGATGGTGGAGAAGGGTTTCCCCTTGGGGAAATTGTCGAACCTGGTTTTGAGCATGTGTTCGACGTTGTCGGGGTTGGCGGTGATGGTGTTGCGGAGCACGTGTATGTGGATTGTTTTTGTGGGGGAGTTTCGGAGGAGGTGAGTGTACCAATCGCAGAGGTTGTCGAAGGTTTTGGACCAGCTCGAAGTTAGATAGGCTTGGCACGTTTCGCAGTTGCAGAAGAAGGTCCAGCGAGGGGAGAGAATGAGAGTGAGAGTGAGAGTGAGAGTGAGGAGGGTGATGATGGAAAGTGAAAGACAGAGTAGTGTGGCTAAGGAGACGTTAGTGAAGAGGTAGCAGAGAGTAAAAGGTTGAAGCTCCATGGATGGATCATAAAGATAAAACAGAGGTACACTTTGAGGATATAATATATAACCTATGAGTATACGTGTGTACGTACGTGCTGCTTAATTTTTATTTATATATTTTATTAATTTTGAGAATACTAATTTAAAGGGTTTTTTTTTATAGTATTTATTAAAGATTAAAGATACTCGTCAGCATGAATTCCAATATTTTAAGGGAGTTGCTACGATACCCTCAAAGATGGAAGGGTTTCAATACATTTTTCTATGTAAACTCATAAATTTTTTTTAAAAAAATTAATTTAATTATAAAATAAATAATCTAAATTATACTTATAAAATAAAAAGTAAGATAAAATTATAGAGATTAAAATTATAAGTTTTCAATAATATTATAAAATATTAAAGAAAAAGAAAAAAATTAATAAATAGTAGAAATAAAAAGTTATTAAAATTACAATATAGAAATTCAAAAATTTAAGACAAAAAGACAAAAAATATACTTAAAAAATTATTAAAATTAAAATATAAAAATTCAAAAATTTTAAGTGAAAAGATAAAAATATACTTAAAAAATTATTAAAATTAAACTATTTAAATATATAATAATATTATTACAAATAAATTAGAATATATAAAATAAAAATAAAATGACTAAATAATTTAAAAATTGAAAGGATAAAATATTATAAATATTATTTAAATAAATTACTAAAAATATAAAATATAAAAAATTGTACCGATACCCTCTTAAATGAGATGGGTACCATAGAATTTCTCATATTTTAATGACTGTTTTTATAATTTATTCTTTTAGAAACTGTTTAGGAGATTTGTTAACTAAATTGGCGGGTTATTTATTTATTTAATTAGGACATATAATAAAATATTAAAGAAAAAAAGAAGTAATCGTGATAAGGTTCAGTTACATGTTATAATTTCTCTAGTGAGAGGGGGAAATTATTATGCTATTGGGACTACCACGTATTAATATATTTTTTTTATGGAGAAATTATCCAAACAACTCAAAATATATTGTGTTGTATTCGTTCATGAGTATATTTTTCGTCACATCTTATGTTTTGGCTGGGTTCTAGATTGGTTTAATGGAAATGGAGTCTTATTAAAACGTATTTTTTGACCCTGCCAAATTACATTTTTCATAACCCAATTTAGTCTAAAAAATACTAAAATTTGAAGAAAAAATAATAAAAAATGAAAAATAAAAAAGAGAAAATATTATATAATATAATATAATACAAAATAAAAGTATAAAATAAAAAAGAGATAAATAAAAAATATAATTAAATAAAATAAAAAAACAAGTGAGATGTATATAAATAACTTTTTAAAAAAATTGAAATTTTTATGTCAATAACATCGGTTAATAATATCATAATTTTTTGTTATAAATATTCATTATGGTGTGTTATTTACACTGTTGAACATTTTGACAATAAATCTATAATTATTGTCCTTAGAATAAAATTAAACCAAAATTCATCTTTATCTTAATAAAAATTAATCTCAAAATTATTAAAAGAATGTTCAGGTTCCACTTTTGTTTGCTTTCCAACCAAAAATTTCACATTGCTCACTATATTACTATGCACCTCCTCCTTCTCTTTTATAAGGAGCAAACCCCAAGCTTTCAAGGATAAACAAAAATCTTTACTAATTAGGTATTTAAAAATTGAGATTAGTAAAAACATTGGACTAAAGTAACTTTTTTATTAACCTAATGAAAAATATTAGGCCTATAATTTTATTTTATTTTTTCTTTGAGACTTCCAATAAAGAAGCATGAGAGATGATATAACAAATTGTCCTCTTGATGACTATTTTTTTATTTTATAAATATCTATTGTTTATTTAATTTTTAGAAATATTTTATTTAATATTTAATGTTTGTTTTTTCTTATAAATTTATAATAATAACTTTTATAAATATTAAATAAATGAACTTATCAACATGAAAAAGAGAGTTAAATAGATATGACATCTTTTAGTCTTTTGAAATTTCAAAAATACAAATTGTGAGAGTTTGATATAATTAAAAAAAATTGAATTAATTTCTATAATCTTTCTATAATAAAATAAAAATAAAAAATTTAATGAATTGAATGACTTTGATGATATACACCTTTGTTAATTTTATATTTTAAGACATGAGTTGTTAAAGTTTAGAAATCTCAAATTTAATAAAAGTAAATTTTAATTAAAAAAATTAATATCCAAATATTTTCTATTAAAAGATTTATATAATCATTATACATGAAGATACATATTGAGATAAATATTTTATAAATTTTAAATAATTTTTTAATTAATTAAAAATAATCATTTTATGACAAATATAGTAGAATATTAATATTTTTATTTTATATAATTGATTTTTAAACCCAAAACTTAGTTTTTAAAAATATTTTTATTTAATTTTTTAAAATATTTTTCAAAAATAAATATAGATCACAAGTTCATATTTTTAATATATTTTATGGTTCCATGACAATCCTCAATGATGCATCATTTCATAATAAGCTCATAATTATTTTATATCATATCCTGGTGAAAGAGAAAGAGAAAGGGATTTAATATTTTTTAAATCTAAAAAATGATAGGGGTAGAAAGTACGTGAAGAAATAATACTCTTGAGTACATATTACAAAAATATTATTTTGACACTATTTTATGTATTTATATTTTACGCCTCTTTTTATAGGGAAAAATAATGAGAAGATATAATGTAAGGGTTTTATGAGTAAATATATTTAAAAAAAGATTAAAAAAATTCTTCAACAAAAAAAAATTTAACCTAGGACAATGGACATGAAGAACCCATTCCCTTCCTAGTTCCTAGAAAACAAAGTGAGTTACCTATAAAATAACTCTGTCGCTATGTACATAAACTCACATGTTGTATTTTACAGACTCGAGGATCCAAGATCTTTGAGCTTTTTTTTTTTTTTTCTTTAATCTTTTGGCTGATTTCCTCTTCTCGAGTTCTATAAGATACTGAACTATTGGGCGATCCTAACAATAATTAAATAGATGCATATAATAATTTTATAATAGCAAGATCTGAAATAAGATTAACTATCTCATGAACAGATGACAAATATGAAAATTTTAGACAAGATACAAGTTAAATGGTGTCATTTTAATGCTTGCATGAAAACTTTTGTTATATGTGAAATCTATCAATGACAAAATATCTTCTCAAATACTTACGTGATCCAATATACAAGTTTTCAACCAGTCTTTCAATAATTAAATAATCATTGATTGTCCGTTTGTTTGTAATACACAAAATTCAACTTAAATCTCATTAATTTTCATAGCTTGATGCAAACTCTGTCAGGATCTAAAAGTAAATCTCGATTCTTTTTCAAAGATAATATTAGTAGACACCCCATAAAATTGTGCTATTTCTTTGATGTACAATAAGTGAGCTTTATCAATGACCATTTCTTGTTGATAGGTAGAAAAAATGCACACATTTAGTCTACCCATCAACAATCATCGAAATAATACCATTGTTTCTAGTAGCTATGGGCAAACAAACTATGAAGTGCATAATGATGTTAAGTTAAAGAGATCTCGTAGCCCAGAGGTAAAATTCTTCTAATAAGTTTCTATTGACTCTCAATTTAACAAATAAATAAGTTAAATTGATTACTATAATTTTGACTAACCTTTTAAGTAGATATTAATGATTTGCTTAAATTTTTTTAATGTCATTAACTTCATAAGGGTGTCACTCTTTACCTATTTTTAGGTATAAAAAAAGAGTTAATCACCTATACACTATCAGTGTAAAGTTTTTTACATTGACAACTAATTATATCTTTTAATTGTACAATGTCATTATAAACACATTTACTTTTAACAATGACATGACACAATTAAAAATATAATTAATTGTCAGTATAAAAGAATTTTATAATAACAATATATAGGTAATTAACTCGTAAAAAAAATATGAAGTTATTCTCCTCTAAGGAGAGATAGGACTACGATTACACCCCCAAACGGATGGGGAGCGGGAATTGGAGAATATTTTGATGATTGGTGGAGCGGGAGAAAATGTATTCGATATTTGAATTAATAAAATACATTTTTATCAAATCATGTAAAAAAAAATAAAAATAAGTGTTCTAATGTGACCATCCTATTCGTGACTAGACCCAAACAAATAATGCAACTTCAACTCCTAATTCCAAGCCATCCAATCCCTTACTCGCTTATTCCAATATCAAATCATGTTATTCACTTTCTCTGCCATAGCGAATGCCTTCTTGCATCATCCACCATCAACACTGCCCCCACTAACCATTGACTACCTTCAACCCCTTGTCTACATAACCATAATATTAATCTCTACGTTTAATATAGATAAAGATGACCAAAGGATATTTTTATATTTTTATTTTTGTAATTATTTTATAGAAATTAAAACAAGAGATCTTATTTTAAATATTGAAAATATATGAGTTAACTTTTTTTTATAAAAAAAGTGCAGATTTTATAAAGTTGTGAAGAGTTTCATTCATAATATTGTATTGATTATATATATAATATTTTACTAAAATCATAGACAATAAGTACAATTTTAATATGAGATTATTTTTTTATAAGTTGTGTTATACTTTATTTTATCCAAAATTACAGTATAATTGAGAATTTAGACAACTTGATTTACAATTTATTGTTGATATTAGTGTCGAAAATGTGTCGAGGTAGGTTTAACTCGACTTGATATGATAATATTTCACTTAATTCAAAATTTGATTCAAATTTGACCTAAACCATTTTTTTCAATTGAACCCAACTCGATTTAGGTTTATTAATAGTTCGGTTAAACTCGTTAGCTCGTAATCAAATCACATGAATTAAAAGTAAAATTATGCTTGAATAGCAATAACCATGTCCTACTAGTGTAAATTAGTCTTTAATTGTCAATATTGCAACATTGCGTGAACCATCTCCATATATAAAAAAAAATTAATCTTGTACATTTTAAAATTTCAATTTATTAGTAAAATTTAGAAAAATGATTTTTATTTTTTGAAAAGATAAAATATAAATTATTCTATTAACTTTGCAAAGTTATAAATTATGCCTAAAAAATATATAATTACAAAAGTTTACATAAATTAAATCTATTCCGCCATGTATATAAAAAAAAAAAAAGTTTGTAACCATGAAATTATAATATGTCAGCTTCTTTTATTATTATTAACTTATGACTAAATTTTGAAAGTTCTTTCAAAATTTAATAAGTTAAAATTAAATAAAAAATCAATTATATAAATTATATATTTATAAGTCGAATCGATTCATGAATCAAAGATGCTAAACCATACTCAACTTAAATTTAACCATTTATTTATTGAACTCAATTTTTAACTCAAGTACATATTATTAAATTTATAAATCAAATTCAACGAGTTAATTATTAAATTAAACTATTTTTCAATCCTTTGAACCTCATTATCACTTGTAATTAGCGTTAAAAAAAGACATATTTAGCTGTTATCTATACGGCTAAATGTAGTAAAAAAATTAAAAGCTCAAAAAAATATACAAGATATTTATTAATTGGATTTTTATTGTGTCCACGGATACATGACATATAAAAAGTTAAAAATAAAACAATTCAATGGAAAATAAAATATTTTTTATACCAAAAACATTAAATTGATTTAGTTTTTTTTAATTAATTTAAAACATTTAATAAGATATATTTAATAATTTTATACTATGTGTGTGTTTATGAGCACAAATAATTTTTTTTTATTAATTTACTTATTACACTGTCTTATTACAAATAAATGCAGAAACTTAATAAAAACCATCACTTAAAAATGTTAGTTTTAGGTGTTTCTTTCCATCTATTGTTTCCTTTCTAAAATCTTAATCCCAAGATTTCGGACACATTAATCAACAAAAAATATCTTAAAAAGAAAATTTTTAACTTAAAAAATTATTACATATATTGAATTTTAAATTTCAATTTCTTATTCCTAATTAAAACATTAAACTAAAATTAGTAAATCAAACACTTTCGTAATCATTAACAAGTCGAAGGAAGACAAATGATCACAAGGCATATAATTGCTGATCATAATATATATATATATTATGGGGCATGTGATTTTGGTTCTAGTTCCTCGCTCTATATATGAAGAAGAAAAGGCTTCAAATGCAAGTAGGTATAAAGCAAAAGAAGGAATGAAAAGAACGTCATTCGTGATCTCATATGGACCAATTATTATGGTAATTAATTGACTACTGAGTACAACGATTTGGTTTGACGTCAAATAGCGATACTCCATGGCCATGCTTATTGGGCCAACCAGAATAGCAGTGGCGTGCATGATGGGCCATGCCATGGTCCATGTGCCCATCTTCCTGGCCCACCATGCACCTCCATCCATTCATTCCATTATCTCAAATCTCAATTTTTAAGGATGTTGTAGATCATGTCTACGCTGACAGTGGGGACGAGAGTCATGCATGCCCATCGAGTACTCCAACAAAATGTATTCACATAATTAATCACATCTTGAATTGAAATTGCTTAACCATGCACTTTAACAAATCTTTTAAACAAAAAAAAAAGTATTAATAATTAAAGTGGTTATGTAATTGTGATCACAATAAATATGATGTTGGACCGTCCCGGTCGGGTGCCGACCGGTGAACGTGGTCCGACATGACTCCAACACAGGACAAGCAAGGTTCGATCCTCGTCGAGGCGGTCATCTGAATGACCCCTTGCGATTGGTTACCGAGATGATTCTCAGGAGCTCGACCTTAAGCCCCTTCGTTTTCTAGGCTTAGGGCTGGAAGGCAAGTGGACCGTCCCGGTCGGGAGCCGACTGGAGGACGTGGTCCGACTTGGCTCCCGGCCATTGGAAGAATTAATCAGAACCTAAACCAATCCCCCTCGTAGAGGTATTCGGTCTACAGCCGACTATGCCTTATAGGAGGGGACTGACCGATTGTAATTGATCCCACTCGCCTAAGAACCCTCTCGGTCAATGACCGAGTAATCCCCTCTCTACGGTATTAGTCGGTCGGTAACCGATCCCAGTTCCCTATGTGGATGTCATCCCTTAGCAAAAGTAGGGCCCCAACTTTGTTCTCGTGTAGTGTTTTACGGATAAGAGCGGTTAAGGAAATCTCTATATCCTCGGGGCCCGCGAGGCCAATAAACAAGAAGACTATAAAACTAAAAACCCTAGAGTTAAGATGGCAGATTTTACACTTTGAATACTCTGGCTTTGAGGCTCGACCTAGAAAAAAACCCTAGCGCACCTTTTGGCCGGAACAGATGTTGAATAAAAAGTTGAGATTATTTTTCGCACAAAATTCAGACACGTTAAACAGAAATGGTTTATTTTCTTTCTTTGAGTCATTCGTAAAACAAACAATTTATTAAGCGATTTTCTTTGTTATGATCAGATAGCAATTTAATTAATTTAGTCCTAATACAATTTTAATAAATTAGAGTTATTATGGAGAATACTTGTGATTTTGTACAAAAAAAAATTGATAACTCTTGATTGGTCTAGTGAAAAAGAAAGTTAATTTCCCCTTTTCTTTCAATTATAAGTCAATCTTTGTCTTTATTTTTTTTAAGGGTTTAACAACAGGCTGAAAATATAGCACATTTAATAAAACAAACTTGCAGTTTTAAACTCAAAATTTCTATATAAGTTAAAATAATCCTCAATCAGTTGATCTACAAATTTATAGAACATGATTCTCACATTTAAATAAAATTCCATATAATATTCCTTAAAATATGTTTTCCCCACTTCTATTTGATTCTGTTTGTCAACGCTGGAAATAAGAATTACAATTTTGGATGAGAAAGGATTTTTAATGTAAAAGGTAATGTAGATTTGGAATTAAATGAACGGCGCGTGTTTTTATTGTTTCGGAATATTGAGATCGCGAATTCTCTCATTCTAAATATGTAACCCCAAAATAGCAATTAAATTAATTGTTCAATAAAGGAGAGCAGGACGTATTTTAAAAAATACAACTCTGAAAGGCAAACATGGATGAGGCGTTGAACATTTTTCAACACCTTTATAACACTTATGAAAAATAAAATAATAGGAAGAGAGATAGAAAAAAAAAATGATAGGTATTGGAACAATTGAAACATAAAGGATGTCCACATGTTATTGTTGGGCATTAAAATCACCTATAATATCATTTTTTTTTACCAACAGAACCAAATTAAATTACATAAAAATAATTGAAAATTATCAGTTAAGACAAATTCCCTTCTTCAATATCACTATTAAATATTTTATAAATAAATATAATGGCAATAATTAATGATTCATTTTTGGATCACTTATTTAGGTAATTCGCTAAATTCATCTTACAAAGGAAAGTTAGTATAGAAGTAAGCAAAATAGACTGCTCGAATTCCTTATAACTTACACGTCTTTTGTTGGCATAAGTAGCTGGTTGAGTTAGGTTAAATTGATCAATATTTTTTTATATAATTTTATTCTAATTTTATAAAGAAAAAATAATGTCATGCAAAATAGGCCCAATAGTTTTTTGTTTTGTTTACACTTCATGGGCTTTAACTTGATCCAATTGACCTAATTCTGTTTTTACCTTAAATTTTACAATTCAACTTGATAGCACACCAAGACATCGAGCCTAGACATTATTATATATGGTATTACACACGACCCACTTAACCATAAAACTAATAAAACTCATGTTTTAGGCCTTCTCCAAAAAAAAATATATTTAACATTAATATTTGTATAAAATTTTTTGTAAAATTCATATTTTTCTGTCACTTTTTTACTTAAAGACAATTACTCATGAATTTAAATTAATAAAAATATTTGTTAATTAACGTCATTCTCTTAAATACATTGATTCTCATAAAAGTTTCCATTATCTAAATATATTAATTCTTTTCAAAATCAATCACTTTAAAATTTGCTTCTAGTGATAGAAGTGATGGTGTGAAAATGGAAGCAGATTATTCAATTTTTTATTGTTAACGATTTGGTAAAAATAAATGATAAAGACAGAGAAAATTAATTTGTTGCAGCTAGCATGGAGGAAAAGAGAAGATTGTATTTGCACATTGCAGTGAGTTGAAAGAAAGAAGAGAAAAGAGTATGTGGGGGAGGAACTTAACGAAGAAAGGGACGCATGCATGCATTAGTTTTAGGCATGGTCGAAATGAATGTGTTGAAGAGTGTTCATGGTTCGCAACTTGTTATAGACTGCATGCCATCCAGCCTGCGTGGGGTGCACAAGGTCCCAAAAGAAAGCAGATTTAGGGTCATCACAAACCCTATACATCTTAACCTTGTTCTTGTCCACGTCCCCACACGTGTACCCGCTGCTCACTCCCACGCAGCACGGTTTCAACTTGTTGCCAATGTGGTGGGTCGAAGGGTCTTTCTGTTTCTGTTTCAGCACCGACAAGAAGCTCTCGTAGAGGTTGAGGACTAGGAAGGTGGATGGCTCCATGCTTCGTTTGTTCAGTTTGCTCACTGCTTCGCTCAATAGAGAGTTGTGGAGAAGTACGAGGGCGTTTGTGGTCTCGTTGCAACGTTCGTACGAGGTTGCCACTGTGATCGAGGGAAGGCATCCTAGGGGTTGTAGACCACCCACCACTATTTTCTTCACTCCCAACCCTTTTATGCGAATCAGATTCTTCACTGTCTGACTCACCACTGCGCCCACGTAAGCTGGCAAACCCTACAAATGAAAAATAATATTTAATCAAACTTAGAATCCAAATTCAACGTATATAACAAATGAAATGAATTTACCTCAGCAGATCCATTTGTTGCCAAGTAATAACTGTAGTCATTTCCAGCGACAGAGACGAGGGCCACTGATTTTGTGAGATCTAAGGCACTGTACACTCTTTTTTCGATGAGTTGCTGAAAGAAATCGATCTGGGTTGTCATGTTTGGGAGTGGAAACGACGTCTTAAACACACCACTGCCCCCAAACGCAAAGTTCATCCCATATTTCAGATGATTCGGTATCACTTTCCTCAATCTGTATGGGATTGGCGATTTCACTTTCAAATGCTTTGCTGCATCACAATCAAAAGTACTTTCATCAACATGAGATATGTTAAAAAATAGGATAAAAATGCATTGACAACACTCTTATAATAATTTTTAAACAATGCGAAACTTGTCAACATTCTTTTCTTAATTGAGTGAACCAAATAGCTATGATTCATAACTAAACAAATGAAAGAAAGTCAAGAGGTCTCTAATTAAGTAGTATTTCAGCACCAAATTAAATACTTTTGTTTCTATAGTTGAGCTAAAAGTAAGACAACGCTTTTACTTTTATTAACAAAGCTGCACAAGTCTAGATCAGAACTACTCGTGATAAAAGATTCTATTTATGGGATAAGAAAAATAAGTACGTCCCATAGCCAAAGACGCTTTGCTATTTGACCAGACAAGATTCAATGCTTCATGATGAAAAATATATAGTACACTTGCATGTTAAACCATATCAATTCAATTCTAATGACATGAATAAATTAGTTATATACGTTTTTTTTTTTGGCATAATTATTACAAGTTTGGAATTTTTAATGTTTTTAGAAAACAGTCATTTATCTTTCGAAACTTTCTCCAACACCATAAAATATAAATTATTATTCTTTTACCAAATACGCATTTATTTGTTATGTACCCAAAAAAATCATACAACGAAATTCAATTTGTATGCTTCAGATAAATAATGATGAAAAATATCTATTAACTTTCGTAATCCCTAAAATTTGAGTGACTAATATCTCTTACCAATAATATTTTTTTCATCAATAAAACTCAAATGAGGAACTTATTATAAAGATTTCAAGTCAAACAAGAGTGATTGGTACTTACCAGAGTGGAGCACCGAGTGGTAAAGCAATGATTACAAATAGCAATAATAAGGACAAAAGTGGCTGCATCCAAAGCTTGGTGTCACGCGAGAAAAAGTAAAGAGCATACCGCAAATGATCCGATGAAGTGAAAGATGATTTTGATTGTATGTAGTTTTTAGCGGAACCGCCTGTCCTACTATTCTATCTTTCAAATTATTGTATTACATGATAAATTAATATTTAAAATAAAATTTGATTAATTTTAATGGTTACACTTGACACCATACAGATTTTTTAAAACTTGGACGATCCGGATCTGATGACGAAAGAGAGATAAAATGAAGTTTCATCGATCGATAGTATACAAACAAAGTACAGGAAAAAAAAAAGTTGACATGTTACTACATAAGCAGAAAAAATGCAACACTTTAGTGGCAAAAGACAGAAGGGCACAACAGAAGAATTATGTTTGGATTCATGTATTTTGGTTGGATATGAATACGTAGAAGTAATAACAATTTTTTATATATAATTTGTGTGTAAAAATGTAAATAATAGATGTGAAACTAGTAGAGAATTAGCAACGGAAAATGAAAAGTGGGAGGCCGGGGAGGCATGAGCCCCACCATTTGAACATGTATAAAGAGTGGTATTAAAATAAACTATACAATAATTTGATATGAAATGAAACAAAGCAGGTCCAAAAGCAAAAACTTTTGTTGAGACTTGAGAAAGAAAAGCTAAAGATAAAATAGTGAGGCAAAAAGAAAAGGTAGCACATACCAATGAAATCGGTGAGGACTCTACCGTCGGAGAATCTTCCGGCGGGCTTGCCGGGAAAGGTGATGCCATAAGGGTCTTTCCATGAAGTTGATACACTTTTCTGAACGTTGCCTGTGTCGGCATAGGAGTCTCCGAAAACAAACAATTTTGTTAGGTGATGGTGATGGTGATGATGATGATGGCGAGCCTCTGCTTGCATCACCCTTTGGCCTGAAATAAGGTAAATAAATAGATTAAATTTTGAGACAACATAAGAAAAAAGGAGACATAGAATGAGCGTATTTAAGCTTGTGTTATACCTGAGAGACATAGGATTAAGAAAAGAGAGAGGAGGGAAAAGAGTTGGTTGCGCGAGTTCATGATGAGTGTTTTGAAGAGAGGAAAATTGAAGTATAAGAGAAAGCTGAAGAGAGAGGAAGTGAAGAAAAAAACTAGATAGACGATTTATTTTTATAGGGAGCGAGACGAGGTTTCCGCATCCCCCCGTTTACACGCTCTAATTTACTTGTATAATTAAGGGTAAAAATTTATTTTGATCGTTCAATTTAGTCCTACTTTTATTTTTTGTTTCAGTTTGGTTTCAAATAAATTAATTGGTTTCAATTTGGTCCTAAATAAATTAATTGGTTTCAATTTGGGACTTCCGTCCAAATTATTTAAACGGAGTTAACTGTTGGTCACGTAGATGCATAGGTGGATGCCATGTGGATGCCAATTTTTTTTGAAAACACCTGGACCCAGAACGGGACGTTCTAAAACCAGAACGGTCCGTTCTGGTTCTAGACTGCTAAACATAAACGATCAACGATTATAGTTCACGGTTGTGAATCATGGAAGGAAAAAGACCTAAGGTACAAAGCATTTCAAACATTGAATTCGTAATATTGTCAATGGAAATTGATAACTTCAATTACTAAACAGTTAGGCTATACAATGTATTATTAAGAACAATGCAATCTATCACTAAAGACAATGGTAGCATATTTTATTTCATTTCAAACTGGAGTGAACCACTTACTATCAAATTGACACTATACAGTAAAGGATGAAATGACATGGTATTTTTTCTTGAAGTCATTAACGATGTACCCCAACAACAACAACCTCTTCTTGAAGAGGTAGAACCTCAAGTAAAGGAAGATGATACACAGGACTAACATTTCACCACACAACCATATGCAGGGACACATCTAAGTTAATCATAGTGGGGCACTTGCCCCCACTAAAATTTTTTTCATTCTTTTTTTTATATATAAAATATTAATAATTTTATAAAATATATATTATTAATTATATTTTAATTATGTTGTTATATCTAATATAATAAATATATTAATTTTTTTTATTTTTTATTTTATTATTTAATTATTTTTTATTTTGTGGTAAAATTATCTTCATTTTTAATGAAGAAAAAATTTACTTACTAAGTCTTGATATATTTATTCTATTTAATAATTAATGTTCTATATCAAATTTTTAAGAATTTAATTGTTAAATTAAAAAGTTTTTCATGTATAGATCAAATTTATAAAAAAAATTAAAAAATTAAAAATCATATGATATTTCGTTAAATTAATTCAAATTAACATGTAAAATATTTTTGTTTTAAATGAATGTAAAAATTTAGAAGACACTAAAAGAAAATAAATTAATAATATTATTATGTTTATCCTATTAATTTTTATCATTTTATTCCTCTAATTTTAAATAAGTTGCAAAAAATTATAAAGTGACACTTAAATATTTCTTCAGACAGAAAGAGAAAAAGAAAAAGTTATTTCTCTATTTATAAGACAATTGTATTTTATAAAAAATAAGTAATTTTAAAATTTTTACCATAAAAAAATATTTTTCAAAATTATTATATTTTTTAATAAAATTAATAAAGAATATCCTATTCTCAGTTTTGGAACGGGCCGTTCTGCTGTACTATCTGGAACGGCCCGTTTCATATGCAAAATTAACACATCAAGAGTGCATCCAGAACGGCCCGTTCTACTTTCAGAACGGACCGTTCTAGTCCAGGTGTTTTCACAAATTTTGGCGTCCACGTGGTATCCACGTATACATCTACGTAGCATCCACGTGGCCAACAATTAACTTCGTTTAAATAATTTGGACGGAAGTCCCAAATTGAAACCAATTAATTTATTTGGGACCAAATTAAAACCAATTAATTTATTTGAGACCAAATTAAAACCAAAAATAAAAGTGGGACTAAATTGAAACAAACAATTATTATAAGAGACCAAAATAGGTTTTTAGCTTATAATTAATTATTAAGTTAATTTTGATAATTGAATCATTTAGTATCAATTTAGTAAAATGGTTGAGATTTATACTTTTTAACTAATAATTAGGGCTTGATTTCTAATTTGGACAAAATTATAATTTGAGATACTATTTTATTCTATAAAAACGTATCTGATGAAAGAAATTATATATTTAGTATAAAAAACTTATAGTTGTAAAGGATTTCAGTAAATTTTAAAATGAGTGTGTTTGATAAAATATTTAAAAAATTTATAAATTTCTTTTAGTAGCTTATAAGCTAGTTTGATTAAAATTTATTTGACAAAAATATATTTTTAGAACTTATAATTAATAAATTTTTAGCTTTTTTCTTGTAATTTGTTTGAAATTTCTTTTTACCTAATTAATTTAGAAATTAATTTTGTCTACATGTTCTATTTTTATTCTAATTATTAAATAAATTAATATGTCATTTTACATTAAACATTTGTCTTTATTTAAAAATATGGATCTTACTAACTATGCTAACGAATCAATATGTATAGAAAAAAATTATTGAAAACTACCGCATTCGTTCCTCATATGTAAGAAAGAAAAAAATAGATTTTTTTATTCTTTATATAAGATTATTTAAAATTATTTTTTGAGTAAATATCTTCGATTAATGTTGAATAAATGTTCAACATTAATGAGAATTTCTTACAAGGATCGGAAAATACGACTTGCGTACGTTAATTAATTAAGAGAAAAGTGTGAGATGATAAGTTTCATTAAGTTGTTGTTTTTAGTAAATAAATAAATAAGTCTTTTTTTAATAAATAAGTGCAACTCATTCCCATCAAATCAATTTCTATAAAAATAAAGTGATATATTTAATTGTGACTCTACTTGCAACACAAAAATAATTTTTTAAAGGATATTATAAGAAATATAAATAAAAAAGAGATAACTAATGTTATATTAAAAAAATAGAATGACACTTATTTTGAGAAATAATTTTTTTTTCTTAGTGAACACATATTATGCAACGAATGAAGTGTTTACTTTAAGATTTGTTCCTATTTTTCACATAAAATTATTATGTGATGAAGGGAGTAGTTAGAATTTTCCTTATTAAAATTGTATGATTTTGAAAAATTATAAATATTATAACCTTACATTTTATAAATTTGTTAACCTTATAAAACTAATACCATAAAATTCATAACAACAAGTATGAATTTAAAAGTAATAATTATCAAAATAATTAAAAAAAAAAACAGCATTTACAATAATTTACGTTAGAATAATAATATTTAAATTATTTTTTATATATAGATTTAATTCTATTTCATTTTTATCTAAGTGAATTTTAAAAATGTAAAACAATGATTTCTAATTGTATCCTAATAGCATGATACCGAGACATATTACTTTCGTACTTTTTCTATTTTTTATTCATAGTTGTTTTGACATTATTTTTTTGTTCTTTTTTTCAATGTCACTTTTCTAAAATAATAAATTGTTATTTTTTTATTTTTATCTTTAATAATTAATGTATGTTTACTGAATAATGTGTTTATTCATTTTTAATGTACATGTTTTTTCTCCAACCACTTAAAGGATATAACATAAAAATAAGTAATAAATACTTTAAAAAATTAAAATATCAATCATTTTCTTAATTTTTGTACATAAATTTTAAACGTTAAATAAAAAAAATGGAAGGAATAATATTTACCGAGGCGTTTACCATTTTTACCATTTTAGCTTAATCCATTATGTGGACTCAAAGCTGATTTCAATGTATGTGAGGGTTAGTAATACTTTTTCTAGATCTATATGAACACAAATAGAACTAATTTTATATAGATTAAGAAAGTATATTAAATATATTTAGTTTTTATAATTTCATGTAATAATGTTCTCATTTATTATATAGAATTTTTTTTAATTAAGAATATAAAAAAAAAAAAAAAGTTAACATTAATAAGATGTTTATATTTAGTAAAAAAAAAATTAAAGCATGATTTGCTTTGTGTATATAAATATGGAATCAGTAGTTCAAACGACCCAAATGTCATTCATAAAAAGTTATTTAATATAAGGTGGAGAATCAGGATGAATATATCATTCATTAAGGACATTTAATGACTAAGGCCATGAGGATAGACATCCTTAAACCCGGAGTTGGGAAAAATCAACGAGGTACCATATAAAAGGAATCCGGATTCTCTGACTTTGGGGAAAGAAAGTTATGGTAACTTAATACATCTCAACCGTTAAATGTATAAAAATAAATCAGATTGTGACACGTGTACAATATATATTTTAACTTAAATGTACACGTGTCACAATCTGATCATTTATTACAAATCTAACCGTTGAAATGTATTAAGTTACCCTAACTTTCCCTCCACAGAGTCAGGGATCCATTTCCTATAAAGGGAGAGGAGAGATTCTTCTGACATGTCACACTCTTGAATGTTTTAAACTTGAATAATTACTAAAATTTTCTAGGAACTGTCCTTGATACCGGAACAAGGTATCTTATAAAGGGAGAGGAGAGATTCCTCTAACATGGCACGCTCTTAAATATTTTAAACTTGAATAATTACTAAAAAAAATTAGGAACTGTCCTCGATATCGGAACACTTACGCTAATAAATTACGAGAGTAGAAACATAAAAATAAAAAAAATAAAAAAAAATCTTATTTGTGCATTAGAACTGGCTCCATATTTAAAAAAAAAAAAAAAAAACAATAGTGATTTTATAATTTAAAAATAAATTATACTGAAATTGTTAAATGGCCGAGATAAGCTAAGGAAAATGGCCTCCACTCGCTCCAGGATTGTGAGATGACGAAGACCCTAGTTACAGTGAAAGTCAATCGGTTAATACCATGTTTGGAAAAATCTTAAAATCGCATCTACAGTAAAGGAAAAATCCTTTTCTATATGGTGGAAATGATGTTTATGCCGTGATTGGTCGTCCCTCAGATATTATAACTATTTCGTAAAAGTCTTAAGAAATAAATATGTGTCTTCGTTATAATTTAATACCTTTTCTTTTTACCAAAAAGTAATCATGTACTTAATTAATTTAACTTAAGATTGGTTTTCATACTAATAATAAAATATAAAAAAAAGTTTAACAAATGAAGGATTTAACTTTCCCGACTTATAAGTTGCTCATATGAATGAAACTAAAGTTGATTACTTTAAGTATAGTTTGTTTTAAGTTTTATAGGTGAAAAGTGTGA